TAAAGAACCATCTGTGTAAAATTCTAAAAATGTGTAAGAACTAAAATCAGATTGAAGCATTAGTAGAGTGGTAGCGTGAGATAGGGGAATAAACTGATTAATAAACGACAGAGGAGTAGGAGTAATAAAGGGAGATGCTGAAATGCGAAGGTGAGGAGTGTTACGTTGATTAATGAATGATAAAGCAAGATCATTAATGAGGGAAAGAGTCCAAGAGCACTATGGGAAGGTTTTAGCACTATTATTGCGGGAGGTAGGAATAAAAAAACAGAGGTCTCGAGGGACAATAAAAAAACAACGGTGTTCACTATCTTTAGTTTAAGGTGGAATCTTGGTAATTGGATTATGATAAATATATCTAGTGCAAGGTGATAATACAGTTCTTTGGTTGCGTCCACTCGTTGGATTAATATGCATGACATTTGCAAGATTCAGACTTGTTCTTAGAAGCTTGCCTAGAAAGGGTTTGTTATCACCCAGATTCCATCCAATTATATATGGATTAGTCTGTGCTTCTTTTATCGGCGGAAAAAGTCAAAATGATAGTTTTTCACATGTGGTGTTTTATATCTTAATTCATTAGAGTCTGCGTCAATAGTCAGAAGTTTTTATAGCGAGCCAAACTACACCAGTTCACTTGCGACTCTGGGTGAATTCTGAAAAACTGTTAAATCATAAAAATTTAGCATAGAACGCCCATCTGAAAGTGATAGTTGTTCCGCAAACATAAGTGAGTGCCTTTTAAGATGAATTGACAGTTTTCTATAATCATGTGGAATTAACTGTCTTATTGGAGTCGAACCTTCTCTGATGATATGGTGGTCGTTATCCAGAATTTGTAAAAAAAAGTTTAACCTTTTCCATTCACATAAAACATTCGCAATCCAATCATTAACTTTGGAGCTTTTTAGGTATGACCAATCCACAAGTGAGAAGGCATGTAGCCATTCACTCTGTTGAAGTTGACATAAACGAATTTTTGTTGAATTACCTAGTATATTAACATTGTTTAATGAATATAAGTGTGCATCACTCTATGCTTATAATTGTCGTGAGTAGAAGTTAGTGAGGTTATAAAAAAGATAAGAGTTGATGATAGATAATGGAGTATCTCGAGTAAATGTAGTTTCTTTTTTAGGAAGGAACGGTAAGGTGAGACAAGGTTATCACACTGTTGTGAAGTAAAAGCTGTTAATTGAGACCGGTATTCAATTCTAGAGATGATAACAATGTTAAAAATGTAAACTAGCTGTTTGTCTGTTAATTTCTTTTTAAGCATAATCGTAATAGTGCTTTTGACTTCGTTAAGGACTAGCTTGTATGTGTAAGTTTTATTTCAAAAAAGAGAGATCCAAACACCTAAGTATCTAGTTGATTCTTTATACGAAAGTGGGTGTTATAAGAGTTGGGGTATCATTAATCATACAACTAAATGGCCGATTATTCATTTTGTTGTTGATTAGGAAGACTGATTTGTCCCAGTTAACTTTAATCGAATTGAGTTTATAAAAACTATCTGCTACATTTAGTTGTATGATCAATGACAGTCCAATGAACATCACACCATTACCTCATAAAGAGTCAACCAGATATTTAGGTGTATGGATTTCTCTTTTCAGAAATAAATCATTTACGTTTAAGATGATCAGTAATGAAATCAAAAGCACAATCAAAATTATGTTCAAGAAGAAATTAACGGATAAGCAATTGGTTTACATCTTTAACACTGTTGTAATTCTAAGAATTGAATACCAATCGCAATTAACAGCATTTACCTTCCTACAATGTGACTAACTTGTAACGCCGTATCATTCCTTCTTGAAAAAGAAATTAAATTTACCACAGGCTACTCTTTCGTTAGTTATACACTCGCACCTTTTTTATAACCTTTCTAACTTCCATTCGAGGCAGTTAGAAGCACAGAGTGAGGCACTTTTCTATTCACTCAATGACACAAATTTGTTGGGAAAATTGACAAAGCTCCGCATACGTCAACTTCAACAAGCAGAATGGTTATATATATCCCCTCTTGTTGATTGGCTATATCTTAAATGCAATAAACCCACTGATTGGATCGCTAACGTTCTGTGTGAATGGAAGAATTTAAACTTCTCCATACAAATTCCTGATGTGAATTATCATTGCATCAAAGGAGGTTCAACTCCCATATAACACATACTACCCAATGAATACCGGAAGCTTGCCACACACTTAAGAAGGATGTCACTTATTTTTACAGAATAACTTTCTACATCAGATGGTAACACTATGTTAACCTTTTCGATTTAACGGTTTATCAGAATTCCCCGCAGGTTGGACGTGAACCTGCTTGGTTTAATCGGCTACAAACCCTATCAACTGTTGATATCGCCTCAAGAGAACTGAGAAAAAAAACACCGCATATTAAAAACTATTATTTTAATTTTTCTTCTCCTATAAAAATAGCTCGAACCAACCCTTACGTACTTGGTTGGAATCTAGGTGACAATCAACCTTTTACTGGCAAACTTCTTAAAACAAGTACCAACTTGGCGAATGTTATGCATGTCATACCTACCTTAAGCTCAAGTCATAGAATCATACTTACACCCTGTACCAGGTGTATTTATCACAATCCTTGTACCAAAATACCACCACAAACGAAAAATAGTAATAATCGCTGTTTCTTTACTATTCCTAGAGATCTTTGTTTTTTTATTCCTACACTTCGTAATAATAGTGTTGAAAGGTTTCCT